TGATCCTAAAATTATCTTCCAGTTAATTGAAGAATTTTTAAGTTGATTAGCATTTCGTTGTATTAGGAATAATATAATAACCGATATACGATATAATTTAATATACGTAATATATGTAATTTAATATAATATAATTTAATTATAAATTATATGTAAGTTAATATTCATGAGATTTAATCAACTTTCAATTTCTCTGTATTCTAATATAATAACGCACCTCTTTTGTGACAAACTGTATACCGTCGAATAGAAAGAGTTATTTATCATATAGAAATTATTGTTACAGAACAGTATACATTTTATTTGGACAGAATATTGTATATCAAAGTGGCCTTTGCAGGTTCATATTGCGTTGACTAAATGGCATAATTGTATTATGAAACACAAAGTGCATATTATAGTTAGGAGACACGACAAGGTAACAAGGTATTGTCAGAACGTGTCTCGGAATTCTTGGTAATACAGCGCGCAACATCTTGCCATGGACCAATGTGATCATTATATATATATATGTATTCCATATTATATGACGTTCATATTCGGCATTCAATTTTATTTTATTTTTTTTCTTTTCTTTTCTTTAAATGAGTCTTCCAATTGGTTTCTCTTGGCATAAAAAAAAAATTACTTTAAAAATGACAAAGTTAATTAATTAGCAAGAAAGAAATTTCGAAACCATATTTTAGCAAATTTATTCTATTTTTCTTTATTTTTCATTTCCTTTTAACTTGAAAAATTCGAATTGCATATTTGACGAAGCAAAGAGAAAAGATTCAACATTAGAGTTTATTTTATGTGTGTATCTAGGAACCACATACAAGATCCAAGAGGATGGTAAATTCTTACCACAGTCGATGCATTGTACTGCTCGACTGTTCGTTGCTTTTATTCAGCGGTATTCTTAAATATTCAAAAATTTTCACGTATCGATGAAAAATTTAATATTTAATCAACAAATTTAACATTTTTTTCCTTCGCTATTTTTTAAAGAAGAACAACAAAAGTAAAAAAATAGAAAATGAAACATTTCATGGTTGAAATCGAAGAAACTAAATCTAAATGAATTTTAGAAAAAAATAAACGAATAAAAATAAAAGAAAAAAATTCATTTTTTTTTGGAATTTTCTAAAAATTTTAAAAATAGGACGCAATGACATTAAAAAGAAGAATAAAAAGATTTAGCATATGGAAAAATCGCATTCCTAATAGTTAGAAAAAATAAACAAGTTTTTTAGATTTTATTGAAAAATCCAATGATTTTTAAAAAAATTTAGAGAAAAATAGAAAACTAATCACATCACCTTTGATCACACAGAAAACAAGCCTTTTATACTTCGTTGGAAAATACAATGCCATTTCCTTTGCATTGCATAAGTTATTGAACGAAAAATTAAAAAATTGAATACTTTATTGTTGAATGAAATAAGACTTTTAAAAGTTTTCCTCTTTTTTATTCATTCCTCTTTTTATCGTTTCATTTTTAAATTATAAATAATATTTACCCTCGAAATATTTTATTTGTCTACAAAATCGTTTCATTATTAAAAATAATTCATAATTAAAAATATCTTTTACAAAAATATCTTTACAAATCTTTCAAAGAAGAAAATTATAGGCGATAAATATTTTCACAAATATTGTGAAAAAGTTGTGTTTATATAATTAAAGGAAATCAAGTAAAAATAATGGAAAAACGAATTCTTACACTTTCAAAAACGAATTTATCTATCTAAATCACGAAATACCAAACATTTGTATAATGTTTCCATATGCTACCGCATCAAGACATCTTGTTTGCAGGCATATGCATACGTAATGCATATGTAATGCATCGTTTCCAACATGGATCTTACATACATACTGTCTTATGTATCGATTCATCTTGAAGTTGATTTTTAATCGTAAAACAAAGAAAACACGTCCTTTAAATTACAAATTACAAATTAAGAAAAATTCTAAAATTTATATATTTATTATATATATTTATATATTTATATATTTATTATATATTTAATTTAAATTTTACAAATTTGAATCGTTCACTGGTTCTGGCATAGTGATCCACTATTTGCTAGATTCAAGTCCGAATTTCAACTTTCAAACCTAGGAAAATCATTGTTCTTAGACAATCAATTGCCTCTCTCGATTTTCCAAATCATCGTAAAATGAAAATTGTTATTTTGTAAGGAATAATTTAATAGTTATAATATATATTAATTTTAATATTTTTAAATCTTCAGGCATTAAACTTCATCGAAAAATACTAGGCAGAATTAAAAAATTCAATTCAATTTAAAAGCACATTTTCAATATATAAAAGTAAAACAATGTCAAGTGAAAAAGGAACAAGTTGAATTATGCATAACGACTTTTTCGATGAGACTCACTTTTTAATATGAATAGTCAATATGAAATGTTTGACTTTGTGTATTTAGGAGAATTTTAAACATGTAAGTACGTATTAGAACAATTTCAATAGAACGTGAAATTGATTCGAATATTGAATATTATTACACTGTTTATTAACTTATTGTATTGTAAAACACAATATTATAATATTATCGATTATATTAAATGCAGACATTTCTGTTTTACTTAATGATCAATACATAAAATATAATATGATAGAAATTAATTAAATGAAACGTATTCAAATATGTTTTCTCTTTTTTGGTGATGTTAAATTTACCACTAAAATTTGGATCCTTCAAAATTTCATCGAAATATATATTATATTTACATTTTATTTACAATCTTTAATTACAATCTATTGTTTTCAATATTTTGGAAATAATAATACAAATAGAATAGAATTAATGTATTATGAATTATTTTTTTCAAAATCATTGTAAATTTTAATGTTTTTAATCTTTTTTTTTTAAATAAATATGTCATTTGAAAAATGAAAAAAAAAGATTTTCTTATCTTTTAAAAATTTACAATGGTTTCAAAAAAATAAATATTCGACAATAGTGAAACAAATTTGTTTAAAAACCATTACATCCATTTCATCCTGAAATTACATTTATAGAATATCAATTTCCTCTTGTCATGCATATGACAATGCACTATCGAATATCTCAACGGCAAATAATTAAAAACTGGTATGATACCTACATATTGGAAGAATATATTCTATTTCAAGATTAATAAACTTATTCCTTACAAAATCAATTTTCTGAATTGATATTACTTAATAAAGTGATTATTTTCGTGAAGTGAACCTGACAAAATTATGCGATTATATTAAATAACAGAGTGGTATTATTGTGTCTTAAAATATCAGTGATCTCGTTTTAAAGAGGAATTAAATACTCTAAACCATTTATTTAATTAATCCTAAAAAAACAGATAAAAGATTTATATATGTATTCCAAATTATTATTTCGATTTTGTTGATTAACTGTTTTCGAATCAAACATAAAAGGATAAATTTTAAAATTCTATAAAAACCACATCGTTATAACATACGAGATAAATTATTTTAAAAAAAATTTTATAGGACATGGAATATCAATCGAATATGTTTTATAATAATATTGTCACATTTATATGATTGAAATATTGTAAAACACATTTTAATATTTAAAAAAACACATTGGAATATTATTACAAATTTCAACATTTTCAACAAGAAAAAAATATCGTCATGATATTAAAATTCAAATGATTTTCAAAAGGAAAACGCAATAAAATTTTAGAATCCACTATATTGTTTCAAATTCCAAGAATTCCAAGAACCAATGAAATCTCCGGCAAATTTATGAACACGGCTAATAACTATAGAAAAACCTTTGAAAAAGAACTCTGAATAATTTCATAAAATTTGATAAAAATTTCACGTGAAAGAACGATTTAAATTTTTCTCTTTTTATCAAGAAGTAATCTTCAATGTTTTTTGTACATATTATATAAATTACTTAAAAATTCTTATTAAAAAATTAATATTAATATTAATATCGATTAATATGAAAAAGTTTAATTTATAAAGATTGTTAACGATTAAAATTTTTTTTTATGATGTTTTATTATATTATTATTACATTTATTATATATATATTATTATATATATGTATATTATTCCACACTTCTATTTTAAATTATTTATTTTGAAATTCAATTTAATAATTATTACATCTATAATTATAATCCATTAATAATAATGGTATATATAAATAATAATAAATATCATTATCAAACGATCAATAATGAATTTAAATAATCATTACATTCACATTGATATCGAATTAGAATATAATATTCCACAAAATGCATGCAATGAATTCGTCCAATATATTTCAACAATAAAAAAATTTTTTCGAAATCAAAATTTATCAAAATTTGATCAAACGAAAATTGTTCGTTTCAGAGAAATGTTTATTCGAGAGATTTAATTTTTTATAACAAAATAACCCAGTTTTCGATTGTTCATAGAGAAAAAATTAATGAAGTAGGGTGTTCAATTACAGTCTCCCTCTGCCGAAACGACAGAAACGAAAATATAACATCGTTTCTTCTCGAGTCAAAATAAAAAATCTTTCTTCATCTTTGTAAAACATTGTACCGTAAGTAAAGTTAATTTTCCGATATTAAAAAGGGAATTGATAACTATTACAAGGAAACTGCACTCTCGTGAATCGATAAATTGTACAACTTTCGTCGACAACATTCATTTCGCGACGAGCAATGTAAATTTCAATGAATAAATCATGTCCTCGATTTTCTCCTTCTCAACTTGAGAATACAATTTATCGAGTTTATTGAATTGTCATGAAACCTGTTATCCTCTTTCTCTACGTATCATTCTTGTGCACACTTGCATACGTCAATGAAAAGATAAAATAATAGGAAATAAATAAATATAAATTTATTTATTATATTATAAATTTATAATACATAAATTTTATAGAAATTGTTACTCTTTAAATGGATATTTTTGCGAGTATAATTTATGATAAAATTGATAACGATATAATTATCTATTCATTTTTTTGTTACAGATGGAATCCTCCATCATGAATACCTTACAGTACGACGAAAATGAAGAGTTCAAAAATACTTGGCCATCCACGTTCAATAATACGTTCTCGCCCTATGAGAACGAGTCAACCAACGATACTTTTGGTACGAATTGTATCATTGATATATTTTATCGTGAAAGATCAAAGGTGAACATCGAAAATGTAACCACTCAGATATTTTAATTCATGATCTATTATAAACGTTATTATTTGCAAGAATGACCAATTAAAAATAATTACATTTATATTTATTCAAATATCAGCGGATTTTAATTAAAACTTTTTCAATTCCAAACGAACGATAATTCTTTTCAAGCATCCCATTAAAATGATCGAAAATTAAATGTAAAAACTCGGAGATCAAGGAAAATTCGTCGATAAAAAAATCAGTTTTCCATAAATGATTCGAACGATATATTCGTTTGATAACTCGATTCGACATGTAAAAAATTCATTAGAATTCAGACGAGCGTTCAAGCAAAATATATTCTACATTGCACGATTGTTTGTATTTCGTTTCATTAACGAAAGTTTGAAGTTTCAATCGCTTTCAGTAACACGGTTCTAAGTGACAATAGCAAATAAGGTTTTTTTTTAAACTTATCTTTATAACAAAATAAAAAAATTGAAATTGATTATTTTTTATATTAATTCTTACTAATGATAGATTGCCATTAGAAAAGAACTAAATTATAAAAAGGGAAATATTTTCCTTTATTGAACTTTTATCCTTTCATTGAAGAACAATGAGTAAAATATAAAGCGGAAATAAAATTGTTAAAATTAAAGTTTAAAGTAATTGAAAATATTTCGATTATCAACAATTTGTTATTATTTAGTTTCTATATTATTATTTAGTTTCTTAAAAATACGATCTTATTAGTTGACAGTATTAAATATCCTTGCAAAACCGGAAGGAAGTTTTCGGTCACTGTCTTCGTGACAGAAGTTCATGCGATGTCTAAATTACGTAGGTACGTTTTATTATACATTAACATCGTTTTCTTTTTCCTTGCAAATTCAATGCAAAATTTATTTTTCGTGTGCTGCTTCGTGTTTTTCTCATTTTTTTACTTTCTATATTATATAATATTCATTTACTATTTTTTGATAATGGAGAAAACAAATTTAAATTTGTTTTTTAATATTTGAAAAAAATTAACATGACAAATAGGGATAGACTATTATGCCTTCGAAAAGATTTAAAGTCAAAGTTTTTTTTTTTCCATAAATTATTCGTATCCTCGTTTTCAGTTTTACACGATCAAAACGTCGAAATCCGAAACTTAATGTTTTTATTCATGATGTCTTTTCACCTTTAAGTGTTATACGCAAAAATATTCATATCCGTGTCAAAAACAAAAACGTTACTTATAAAGACACATCTTTTCATCTGGATTGAAACATACATTCAAATATTTATCGAAAAATAAAAAAATGAGATAAAATTCTTGAAAAAATATTTCCGAATAAACCCATTGAAAATAAAATTTAAATAGAAATATAAATATTTTAAGATTTTTATTTATATAATAGATATATAAATAGAAATATATATATATAATAGATATAAAATAGAAATAATTTATCACTTGATAAATAAATATTGGAGAAAATGATAAATTTAAATAATATTTTTTATTTATAACATAAAGACAATAAACACATCTATTTCTGATATTTATAAATCTATGAATAATTTTTCCAATCGAAAAAATACGAAAACAAACAGCAAATATCTTAATTTCATTGTCTTTGTAGTAAATAAAAAATATTTCTGTCGATATTAGTCATTCGTCCAAATATCCAAATGAATTATTGTTCAAATATTTCATACACGTTATATTTCAAACATATAAAATAAAAATCCATAAAAAGAAAGATTATAATAAATATTACGTAAATGACTAAATAAAAATAAAATATTCATTTATGTTTTCAAGTAAGCATACATGTATAAATAAATTTTAAATATCAATATGTGTTCCTTTTAAAAATATATTGTACGAAATACAAAATATCGGAATATTACTCTTGTATTATATTCAATTTCCTTTTATTTTAATATATAATTTCAACATGTTTTTATTTATCCTCAGATGGGGAAGTTCCGACAGCTGTACTCGTGCTCCTCAGCATACTTTACGGAACCATATCTTTTTTGGCAGTAGTAGGAAATTCTCTTGTTATATGGATAATATCTACATCCAGGCGCATGCAGAATGTAACTAATTTTTTTATTGCAAATCTAGCGTTGGCAGATATCGTTATTGGTTTATTTGCAATTCCTTTTCAGGTAAAATATAAATTATTCAATGTAAATTATTCAAATCGAAACAAATTTACATCAAAAATAACGTATATTTAATTTTTTTTTTTTTCAAGTTCCAAGCAGCCCTGTTGCAAAAATGGATCCTACCTCATTTCATGTGCGCGTTTTGTCCCTTCGTGCAAGTGCTTTCTGTCAATGTCTCCGTTTTCACATTGACAGCTATAGCGATCGATCGACATCGAGCGATTTTAAGACCTCTCAGGTATGTTATCAATTTTCTAAACAAGAAATTATCTATCTGTATATTTACTCCAAATTCATATATTTCAATCGAATTGAAATTCATCCTATTGACATTTGATTTTAATGAAGTGCGAGACCAAGTAAATTGACCGCCAAAATTATAATTGCTGGAATATGGCTTCTTGCCGGAAGTTTGGCTACACCAATGGCTATTGCACGTAGAGTCATTATGGAACCAGAAAATCCAATATGTAAGTTTCTTTAGGCTTTTTTTTTTTTTTTTGTAAATTATACATTTACAACTGT